GAGAACACTCCCTTGGGTAACACGACGGTGATTGTTATAATGGTCTGTATCTCCATCGCTTGTTGACATATACACGGTACGGTCGCTAAGGTAGCTCACGATCCATGCATACAGTCATCCGCCGCTTTCTAGATCATCAAGCGCATCAAGGATGGCATAATGTAAGACATTGTCGTAGGTGCTTTTGATGTCAAGAAAAACAGCAGCCACTAATCTGCCTCGACATTTTTCCTGTTCAACATCGGAGACCAAGATGATGACCTCGTAAATGGCTGATCGGCCTTTTCTAAAGCCATTCTTGAATGCAGGTAAGCGATTATTGCTCTCTAAGAGCCACTATAATCTCGACAATACCATTCTTTCCATGACTTTGCCAACGCAGCTGCTTAAGGCGATCGGTCGGTAAGATGAAAGCTCATTAGGGCACTTCCCCGGTTTAAGCAGTGCAATTATGCGGCCGCACTTCCACATATCTGGAACATTTCCTGACTCCTGGGAGGTGTTGTAGTAAGATAACAAGATCTGCCTTGCTTCTTTATCAAGATGGCGAAGTGCAGCGTACCTAATTCTGTCCGGACCGGGTGCCGATGAGCGTCGGGAAAGTGAAATTGCAGCGTCCAGTTCCTGCGTTGTAAAAGGCACTTTGAGGCGTTCGTCGAAACACGGGGGCACAGTGGTGGTAAGAGTTTGGGTCACGGTATGAGCGGTGGAAACCGCAAGGCTACAGTTGTCCTTGGCTACCTCTAATTCACTCCGACCCTGATGTAGAGCCACCGCACGGAATGACCAAATATGTTGTGGAGAAGAATATAGACTTCGTACTATCCAACAGATTTTAGAGAGAGGCTGTCTTGGGTCCAAAGAAGTGCAGAACGACCTCCATCGGTGCCTGTGCAGCTTGTCAAGTTGCCGAAGAACGTGTCGTTGAGTTTGAAGACAGGCTGAGAGTCCTAACGGTGATCTTGTTCTTCTGTATCGCCGTTCTGCGCGGCGACGGATAACACGAAGGGCCTCGTAATGTAAGTCGATAGCTGATCGTTGCAGCGGAATGGTAACTTGTCTCGCTCTGTTGCGCAGGGGCGAAGAAATGATGTCTTCTACTTCGGGTGGTGTAGTAATGCGCTGACAGCTGGTTTTCACAGACGACTTGAAGAGACGCCAGTCTGTCTGATGAACGCAGCGTGTGGCTAAAAGGCGGCACCACCTAAAGTGAACATAAGTTGGCAAGTGATCACTACCGCAGAAGACAGGAGACTCCTGGATACAAATGTAATGTCGAGGCAGCTGCTGTAAGAAGTACCCCGAATAGAAAGTGGGCGATCCGTCTTTCAGCACCCTAAGTCTGAAATTACTCACGAAGTCGCAAAACTTTCTGCCACGGCCGTTCATTACAGTGATACCTGAGAGGGCATAATGAGCGTTGAAATCTCCAATGACAATGTGAGGGCTCTGAGCAGCCTGAAGTACAGACCTAAGGTGAGAGTAGTCCACCTTCGCACTTGGATGGATGTATCTTCTGATAACTGACAACGCGCGCCTCTTATACTTTATAGTCAAGCAAACGTAATCATCTGTTGTATGCGACAGAATGTCATGTCGTACATACGTCAAATCGCGGCGTACACAAACTAGCACCTTGCTTGCACGGTGATCACTGCGAGACAAAAGCTGGACGTACCGAGATAAAGGGAATGTAGAATCCATGTTTGGTTCGCAGATGACAATAACTGGAAACTGCTATTTCAATACCCACTGCCTGAAATCAGAGAGACGGCCACGTAAACCACGAGCATTCCACTGCATAACAAGCGTCTGACGCATGCGATCTTCAAACATCGAGGCCATGTTCGCTTACTGAAGAACAACAAGAAGTGGCTCCAGCACCTCAAGTATCTGGACTGCAGCTTTAGCAGCCACTAAGGATGTTTAGACCACTAAGGATCTTGCGCATTGAACCCATCAAATTAATAAGCATACCCTTGATGTCATTATTATTCATCTTGTCGTCCTGCTCGCTGCGTTCAGCAGCATTATGCGTTGAAGGCGTACACGTGGGTCTTGATGGTAAAGAAGGCAACTCCGAAGTATAACGGGCCGGTGGCTGTTTGGCTCGTCCATTCGTCGGCTGTAAAGGTACGAAAGCAGACATCTTCATTTCTGGCCGGTAAAAGCAAGCGACTAGAAGGTGAAGCCTGGACGTTTGATGTCAGTTCTTGAACTCGCTTAGCACTGCTCCTTCGTTTGCGTCGGTGTCGTGAACGACGTTTACTGCGCCGGACAGCCCTTGCAGCTTCTCTGTGCGTGGAGTTGTCCCTAACCATCTTCTTCATGTTAGTTATTTGGTTCCTCATTTTAGCGCAGTCCTTTGAGGTTGCGCCGTGGGCGCACGTGCGGTTAGGACAATTTGTGGCAGCGTTGCAGTTGCCATCGTCATGAGGTCCACAACATTGTTTGCAAGTTACCACACCCTTACAAACTGCACTGACATGCCAGAATTTCAAACATTTATAGCAATGTAGAGGCGTCGGTACATAAGGGCGTACCAGATGACGCTCATATCCAACCTTGAAGTGAGCAGGCAACGACTCGGACTCGAACACTACTTTCACATAACGCGACTGTCCAAAGCGGCGAAAACCAATTACAGGAGCCGTCGCAGAAATGTAGTCGAAAAGAGTGGCGATGTGGGCTTGTTGGTGACGCATTTGAAAGAAATTTATGTAGCGCGAGGCGAAAAACGGACACAGGAAGAAATAGACTGAGAGGACAGAGCGCTAATTAATTTCGTCGAAGAAAGCAATTTCTCGAGGCCCGAGTCTGTAATCTCTTCGTCCACATCATAAATGACGCCTATCGTAGTGGCCTTGCCGTACGCGGAAAACGCGCGCACTGGAATGTTTCCCAACTGGACAATGGCCTTCAGCATGTGCAGTATAGCCTTTGAAGTAACCTCTACCGACAGAATGTTATTGCGGTTATGTATGCGTATTTCCTCAACCTGGTCAGGTGCGATACGTTCGAAACACTCCGACATGCTTTGCCTATTTAGAGTGTTCAGGACGTCTGTTGTCGTTATCGGCATGTACAAGATTGTGAAGGACCGCATGCTACTCGCTTTTTTTGATGCCTGTCGACCGGTCGGCGACGTCCTTCTGACCTTTCTCTTCAGACGACGGCTTGGAACAGGGGTGAAATCACTGTCCGAGGCCATGTCTTCGGTGGAAGAGCCATTAGAAGCGTAACTGTGCACCACGTTGGGGCCGAAGCGGTCACTCACATCGGACGCACCGTGATGAGACGGTCCAGGGCGCAGAAGCTGGGCGGGGTTTTGATCCCCCATTTTACGGAACCACGTCCCCCAGTGTTCTTGTCTCAGATTGCAGAAGTCGCAACGAAAATCGAGAAAACTTTGAGAGCTGAACGCTGGAGCTGTTCTCTGCGATCACTTCTTCCTCCCTCGGCTGTTGCTTTTCATTGCAATAAAAGGTGAAGTAATCAGACACCAGCAGCCACGCTATTCACGTATCCCAGGCAAGGACAACTCATGCACGCTTCTCTAGTCATTCTTACCCTCGTGCACTTGTGACCGGACTCTCTGCCTACACAATTATCTGAGTATGGCACCTGCCACGACCGTTAGAGGCTACACGGTTGCGTGTTAGGACACTGGTAAAAAGTGTTTTTCGATTTTTATTTCGCCGGCAGACAGGGCAAAGGTAAATGTGATCATCTGTACCTGCGCTTACACACTCTTCACAGTCTAAACGCCGTGCGTAACATACGTATCACTTCAACAAGAAACCTTGCGCTTAACCTCAATATCTTGCATGCGTAATCATGCGGATAACATTAAAAGTTTAGGGTTGGATATCTTGGAGCACAGACAAGCTAGAAGAAAGCTACCAAGTGAAACTGTGCACCGACATCACTGTCTACACTTTTTCAATACAAGCATGCAAGCTTACTGAAGCCAATTGAATCATTATATTTGAGGTAATAGTACTGCTTAAAGCAATATTTATCCCCTCACTTGGCGTCCTGAGTCACCTAACGTATTTGCACAAGTGGTTTTCGCCACCCTACTCGTGCCTTCCTGTTGGTATTTAAAGAAAACTGAAACCTGAACTTTGCATATCCGGAATTGATATGTGGGGTTTAACGTCCCAAAACCACTATATGATTATGAGAGACGCCGTAGTGGAGGGCTCCGGAAATTTAGACCACCTGGGGTTCTTTAACGTGCACCCAAATCTGAGCACACGGGCCTACAACATTTCCGCCTCCATCGGAAATGCAGCCGCCGCAGCCGGGATTTGAACCCGCGCCCTGCGGGTCAGCAGCCGAGTACCTTAGCCACTAGACCACCGCGGCGGGGCAAATCCGGAATACAGTTAACGTGTTCTCGGGAGCCGCAACAGCTGATCGGCGGCTTTTTCTGGCCATGCTAAAAACGTTTTGCAAATACCCGTTAATGCAATTCATTTAACTCAAGTAACCCGTATGCGAAGTGAAAAATCGAGCTCTACTTGAGAAGTAAGCAAATGAACACATTTCTCAATACAGTTTCACTAGCTTAATCGTTGTTATATCAAGTGCTACGAAGAAGCTTTTTATATGCAGTGACCAAAAATTCATTTTCCACCCAACTCCGGCGAATGTGACTATAGTCCCATTGCACACTAAAGTAAACCTATATCTCTTTGATGGTGTGTAGCGGCAATTATACATCTTCAGAGGAATGTGCATAGTACGAGTCAGAATCAGTAGTTGTACCTGCCCTCGTAGGTTCAACCACAGTCATTCTCGTCTATGATCCAGAGATCGCATTGCCGCTAAAAACGTCTTCGTACTACACGCGATGCAACAGGTGGCAAGCATTCGAGTGAATAAATAAGCAGGGCCACATCCCGTTCACGACGGCCAGCTGCATTATTTCAGCCCATCAGTATAAAGACCGGGTGCCATCAACATCCGGCTAATAATACCTATATTCAGGTACATCAAGCACGATGGAGGTGATTCAGGACTTAATCCTAGCAGTTCTGAATACTGTTTCAGTCGTAGTGTTGTTAATTTTACCAAACAAACCTGAATTTGATGCGGTAAAATTAGAAAGGCAGTATGACTATATCATCGGTGAGTACCACACTAAAGTCCATTCTTGCTGTTCCTTCAGTTGCAGAGCCTAGGCCAGCATGTCTAATATAACAGACACGGTTGGAATTCTCGCTTTGTCGTATATTGAATTTACCATACTTCTACAGCGAAAGCTGTAGTGAGATCACAACATGGGTCATGGGTGGCGCCGTAGTTGTCCGCACCACCACCGCCACCACTCGTGTTTATAACAGCTCTCACACGAAATCAGAAAAATAGCAAACAAAACTGCCAACGACACAGTGAGACTAGAAACCTGTTCCGCGGCGTGCCAGCCCAGTATTCCACCGCTGAGCTAGGCGGTGCTAGTGACTTGCTCGCAAACTTGCCTTAGGCTGGCTTAATGCCGGGAAAGGAATCGTGTTAGTACGAAAACTAAAGCGTTTTAGAACACCCGAAGGAACAACAAGGCGTCACGTGATGCCAAATTTGGTATATGTGAAGCTAGCGAAACGGCTGCGTGTGCATCATGAGCGTGGCGAGTGGTCAAGAGTTACAAGACATGCATGTGATCATTTTCAAGTTATGGCCTGTCACTTATGTTCATTGTGATGTTATGTCATACTATCGCTGTTTTGCAATGTGTCATGTGAGCAAAACCACTGCATGAAAAAGAAGACCATGACATATATATCTTGAAATACATCTGATACATATCATCATTTTTAAGTTATGACCACTCACATATGCTCGCCATACAGTCATGGTATGCACCACGAGTTTTGGTATAGATCCCATTATCGCTTAGGTCAGAAGAACTATATGTCGTAGGCGGCTAAATAAATAGATAGACCGACAGATACGCTGAATGCCGTCGAAGTTCGCTAAGAACCGTTTCGCATTAAATATAAAAGCAATGACATGGTACTCGTCACACAGAACGTTGGAAGGTACTCACTGCACTGGGAGCACCTTCTTCGAAGAGGGTCTATGGAGGTATATTTTACACCATACCCACTTTGTTAACTAATTTCATAAATTAATGATGAAGTACGAATAACCAGTGCACGCACACCGCACGAACATTACATAAATGCATGCTCACTAAGCAAACAAATGTAGTCTTGCTTTTTTATTTTTGTCATTGATGTGAACGTTTCGTTCAATAAAAGTAATTTATTTTTTAACAGTTTGTATTCCAGAATATGTGTTATAGAACACTTAATTTTTTTCTTTTTTTTCTCTTCTGAACACTGCTATTAATGCCTCCATTGTAAAGATGGCTATGTGCCTCTATCAAACTCTTCGAGTTTTAAGCAACTTTTACCTGCGGTCTCCTCAATCCTAAATGAAAATAAAAACTTTTTATATTAGGAAGTCGAGTTCCACAGGCGATGGGCATTGCTAATACTGTAATAGAAGGCCAGCAAGGCTCGATATGTAGTCGTTATATGGGAGGACTGCTGACTACATTGTATAGAATCATTCGGCTCTAAAACACGTAAGGACGAACCTAGGTGGAAACTTGCGAGTGCACAGGCGTACCATCGTTATTTAAAACGCGATTAGGTGCGGAGGCACAATATCGAACCCGCCCCTGCGCCGTTGGAGCACTGTACGACCCACTTCTTACGCTATTCGCAGCGTGACGCCTCCTCATTATTTTGCTCTTCTAAAACGCGTTATTACTCATTATACCGCGATTGCTTTCGCTACATCAAACCTACCTAAGGTAAGTTTGTGAACACGTCCCAAGCACCAGCATGGCTCAGGGGTATAATTCAGGGCTGGTACAAATTGGTCCCGAGTTCGGGCCTCACTATTCATTTGGTAGTAGGCTTTTTTTCTCATTTCTGGGTAGTGGTTATGGACACCGGGAGTAGCAGACAACTACAGCGCCACGCGTGACCCGAATTTCTATCTCATAACAGCTTTCGCTGTAAAAGTTCAATAAGGCCTTCACTGAATTTCTGTGTGAGAACCGATCCTCCAGGCATTCAGCCCTGACTGTTCTGACGAGGGATTCTGTCAAGACATACTAACATGGCTGCTAGCGAATGTTTTGTCGTGCTTTAACGAGTGTAGTGAAAAAGAAGTCCGGTTGAATATGGGTTTCATTATTCTTTTATAAAAGGAGGGGCCTTTTTTAATATATTATAAAGGATACATTGATCGGAAAGGTTGTTGCTAGTCTGGCGATGCACCAGCCACAGTTCACGAGCTCGAGTCTCTGCTTCACGCTCGATGCTGCTGCCTCTGCGCCAGAGTACTTTCTCTTCTTTGCGTCGGCGTCAGCATGCTTCCGTCCTGACCGATAAAGCAAGCGTATGTCATAATCTTGGATTTTCAACGCCCAGCGAGTGAGGCGCCCAGATGGGTATTTCAACGTCGAAAGCTAGCACAGCGCAAGGTGGTCGGTCACGACGTCAAAAGAACGGCCATATAGATATGCGCGAAACTTTCCAAGGGCCCACACAATGGCCAAACACTCATTTTCTGTGACGCTGTAGTTGCTCTCTGCCTTGGTTTGTGTGCGACTAGCGTGTGCCACGACGTATTCCGTATGCTCCGGTTTATGCTGTGCGAGCATAGCACCCAGGCCTACACCACTGGCGTCGGTGTGGATTTCAGTTGGAGCTTCAGGATCGCAATGGCGTAGAATGGGTGGCGTCGTGAGAAGCCGTCGCAAGGTGGTAAAAGCCTCGTCGCAGGCAGGTGACCACGATGAGAGGTCTTTACAGTTAGTTGCCGAGGAGTTGCGTGAGAGGTGATATAATAGACGCAAAGTTTCGGACGAATCGCCGGAAATAAGAACACAACCCAATAAAACTCTGAAGTTCTTTGATGGTGGCAGGTTTAGCAAACGCCGTAAAAGCTCGCAATTTCTCGGGATCAGGGAGGATGCCTTCCTTGGAAACTACGTGGCCCAAAATGTACAGTTGACGCATGGCAAATTGACCACATTTAAGGTTTAATTGCAAAGTGGCATTGGTCAAGCAATTGAGGACGTGCTGAAGGCGTCGTAAGTGCGCGTCGAAGTTAAGGGCGAAGACCACGATATCATCGTGGTAAGACAAGCAGATGTTGCATTTCAGTTCACGCAGAATGTTGTCCACCATTCGTTCGAACGTTGCAGGCGAGTTGCAAAGTCCGAAGGGCATGACGGTGAATTCATTTAGGTCTTCTGGCGTGACAAAAGCGGTTTTGGGTAGATCGGCCTCCGCAATGGGTACCTACCAGTAGCCTGGCCGCAAGTCTAACAAGGAAAAGAACTCAGAACTTTGTAAACAGCCCAAAGCATTGTCAATGCGCGGCCGTGGATAGACAACCTTCAGCGTGATCTTGTTCAATCGCCGGAAATTGACACAGAATTAAATATAACCGTCTTTCTTTTTGTCGAGGACCGCCGGAGATGCCCCTGAGCTCTGTGAAGGTCGAATGACGCCTCTGCGAAGCATGTCGTCTATTTGGTCAGCGATGACGCAGCGTTCTGTAGCAGACACGCGATATGGTCGTTGGCGCAGCGGTGAGTGGGACCCAGTGTCGATGTGGTCTTCTACTGCTAATGCACGGCCGAGAGATGTTTGTTCAACGTCGAAAGAGTGGCGATAGCACTCAAGGATGGTAAGGAGCTGTGAACGCCGCGAAGATGTCAAATCTTCAGCAATGAATGATTGAAATATGCTTGCCGACGCTGAGTAAGCCGGGGAGACGACAGCCAGTTCACAGACGGAGGTAGAAGGTACCTCATCGGAGACGGTTATAATTCTGTCAGCACTAAGCGTCTCGCCATGGCCAAGGCACTCGTGACAAAGTAGGAATAAAGGCGGTGACTCCTTATGATAAATTGGCATTGTGGTTCAGCCTTCTACAAGGTCGAAAGCAGCAAAAGGCAGTGGGAAGTCTCTTCGGGCAATGAATAGTGGAGATGGTGTGAAGAAGACCATGCCATTGGATATGGCACTGCATGAAACTGGTACGAACGCAAAAGAGCATGGAGGGATGTAGGTGTCATCGTTAACGACAAGTTTAACGGCAGACTGGGTGTCGAAGGACGCTCGGTCATCCAGCGAGCAAAATTCAACCTCAGCCCGTGCACAGTCGATTACGGCGTTATTAAGTGACAAAAAGTCCCATCCCAAAATAATAGTATGGGAGCACGATGAAAGAACGATGAACTCTATCGTATACAAAACGTCCTGAATTTTCACGCGTGCTGTACATACTGAGGTCGGTTTAACAGGTTGAGCACTGGCTTTGAGAAGCGATAATCCGGAGAAAGGCGCCGTAACCTTACGAATTGAGCGGCAAAATCCGGCATCAATAACAGAAACAGCTGCACCGGTATCTACAAGAGCGACAGTAGGGATATTTTCGAGGAACACATCAATAACATTGGTAGGGGACGAATAAGGACTTGGGCAAACGGAAAATTGCGCAGTTCTCGCCTCAGGAACTGCGTCGTCTAGTTTTCCTCCTAGTTAGGCGCGGGCCGTCGACGCATAGGAGAAGGCAAGCGGCGGCGTGGAGAGGGCAAGCGAAGACGTCCCGACCGAAGGCGGTGGTTGTTGTGGCAGCGGGCTGGCATATGAGAGGAGGAACCATAATTCGTGTTGTAGTCAAGCGGCAAGAAGGGCTTACGGCAGTTGTCATCAGTGATATGCGTCCGGCGGCGGCAATACTTTGCTGCGTGTCCGGGGTATCGACAATACGTAACATATCGGGCGATTGTCGAGGGTGCGCCACGGGTTGGTGGTGTTAGTGCTGGTCCAGTGGACTGGATGTGGGGAATAGCTCACGCGAGGCTGGAACGGAGCTTCAGGCACCTTGCGAGTTGGCATGGCTTCAGCCGCGGCGTAGGTGAGTGGAGCAGCCACAAGATTATGCTCGCGGGCAGCTGGTAGGGCCTCGGCGACTTCTCCTTGAATGACACCACGGAGAGACAACGGTAAAATTGTGGTAAGTTCTGGTGTGAAGGGCACCAAGAAAAGCTGTGGTGCGATTTCTTCACGGAAAATTGATTTTATTTCAGCTATAAG